GCGTTTACTTCCAGCAACATTCCTTTTCACATGGGATGGCTCTGGTTTTTTTGTCGCAGGCAGAGAGCCAGCAAACTCCAGCACCTCAGCGGTCAGCTACTCCAGCATACCAGCGAGGTACAAGGGTTATCCGTTTCTAGATCGGGTCAACCGTGGTGCAAATTTCATCTCAATGGGGATTCAAATCAATAAACATAGGGGCCAACAGGCAAGTGTGCTAGCTACTCTGCTACTGCGACTTTAAAGCAAAGTGAAAAACCTTTCTCACACCAGTAAAATAGGGAATATGATGTTAAGACTCACAGCTCTAAAGACCAACCGACACTCCATGGGGGACGTGCTCAATGTCGTGTCAGCGGACGTTACTTCTCACATAACCTGGAATCCATGTGAGGCTTGGTCAACCTGGCAGTCAAAATAATTGGATACAAATCTATCCGATGATGATTTCAGCTCCTCCTTCCCGCTGGCAGGTGAACCCCCAACAACTATGCTGCCACAGCTCCCATGATGGCTAAATTTACTGACTCATGATCATCAGATCATAATAATACTGAATTTGCACAAAAATACTGATCTACCCGGAAATACTTAATGTAGTCAAAGTTGACAAAAATAAAAAAGTAAATAAATAAATAATTGTAAGTAATTTCCTGCAAAAAATGTTTTTAAAAAAAAAAAAAAAAAAACATAAGTCAGATAAATTATGGATACCTTTGTTCCAGATAACCGTCACGGACAGTCTTTTTCATTTTCTTCTTCTTTAGCATTTCAAGCCCCTGAGGTTCACTGCTGAAGATACTACTAGCCTCCATTGATCTCTCTCAGGTTGACCTTCTCATTCCAGTTAAAGACACCAAACACTTGTAGGCCTGCCTGGGTGTTATCTCCCCATCATCTTCTTGGTCTGCCCCGTGGTCTACGACCATTCAATTCCCATGCACTATGGGGGTAGCTTTCTTAAATTTAAAATTACCAAGAAAAATATTTCAAAACATGAAAAACATAATAAAAATATGAAGACTGCAACCTGATGTATACCCCACAAAGAAAATAAAAACAAGACTTCAAACACATGCAAATCATATAAGCAACTCTAAGATCTACACAGGTATTTAGTATTGATAAAATAAAAAGTTAAAGAGGTCATTCACAAGAAATATAGTCAAATACTGCTAGGTTATACTGATTGCAAGAAACTACATCAAAACTGCAGCTTATCACTTTCACCTAGTTTCAGACTAGAATTCATAAAAAGCAATAATACAAATGTTTGCTTTCTGTGTATAAATTTTTTTTTTAAATGAATATATTTCCACAGCTGATTTACACGAAAGAAACAAGTTATATTGCTCTAAAGGTTGCTGGTTTTTATATTGTGAAATGCTCCTGAAATATTACCAGTTCTTATGTATATCCACATCCTCGAACACTTAGTTTGATTTTTTAGTTACCTTTTTATTATCTTGTGTTTCTGCACCATACAGTAGGAATAAGTATACAAAAGATTTGACAATTCTCATTTTAAACATGCTGGTTCTCTCAACAGATGTCTCTAACCACTATGCCACTGTGTTCTATAATAATGATGGTGTTAATTAACTCTTTCAGTCTCACAAGGTGCTAGCTTATGTCCATGGGATATAAGAATGGCAATAAAAAAAACTCATGATTAGACTAATTCCAGAGCGGCCAAATTCAGTAAGAAACAAATATGTTTCACCACTGCTTCCCCAACAAACATGTCGTAAGAGTCGACTACCTGGGTACTTACTTCAAAGTCGGAGTGCATCTGCCTGAGAGACAAGGAACCAAAGTCTGCACACACAAAAAGTCAGATCCGTAAAATGGATGTGCATCTGGTAATCTGGTAATCTTAGTTTCAGCTTCATAGCAAATGGGTGACCCCATAGTTGCTCCGCTCCTGTGCCAACGAAAAACACACGTAGTTCACAGTGTCACACCATGCACTCAACTCAGAAGCTGGGCGACGAAACTATATCCATTCAGTCTACAAATGGAGCAAAAATGCAACAGCCACCGCCTGGCAGGAAAAAAAAGGTGGCCGTGCCTAGCGTCCATTTTGACCTGAAGGATTATATGAGGGTTAATAAACGGTCACCCCAGCAGTACCCTCATTATTAGCTGGGGAAGGGACTTAGGACATTACATCCACCAGTAGGCGTCGCCCTTACAACGACCTGCCTGCCTTCGTTAATGACTGTTCACCCAACAGCCATGCAGTTCTTTGGCACGAAGGAGACACCTTGAACTTGGTAATCACAGTGAGTATTGCAATTAATTCTGTGTAAACAAAAAAATATTTTGAAAAACTCAAAAGTTTCGTCTCCATAAAAAAACTGCTCATGCAACCCTCAGGTTCTGGAACAAGACTAAAGTCAAGAGGTGGACCAACAACCAGACCTTTCTGCTGGAGTTTACAGCCGGTGAACATGAAGAAGAAGTGTGTTTTCAGAGTTCTGCCGAGTCTCTCAATAAACATAAGACGTAAAACAATACACAATATGCTGACTAGTACACATGAACAATACCAAATCACAGATAGTGCGTTCTTTTGGATAAACAGAGTTTAACCCCATACAGGAATTTGTGCATGATATAGTGTCTTCCTTTCAAGTGCTACGTGATTGATCACAGGCAATTGGTCATTTTCAAAATATATGTTTAAAAAGTGATAAAAACAATCAATGACATCGTGCAAAATACATCTCTACTTTTTTTCATAGACATAATAGTATCCTTAGCAGTGGCACAGAGGCGATGGAGACACTAGAAGTCCACTTTAGGACTACCAAAGAGCCATAGAGTAAAGTAGCAGTTAAAATATGAACCCCCAATTAAAATGACAGACACACAGCCTAGGACTAAAACAAGTCACACAGCTCATTAAATTAAAGGCAGCAGATGAGATGGTGAAGGACCAGCTGGCTGAACGGTTAGAACGCTGGGCTCTAAAGCAAGAGACCCAGGTTTGAATCCTAGGTAAGGCTGGAGATTTTTTTTCTGTTGGGGACAAAATAAAATCCTCACCTGCACAGTCATGGCGGCCTTAAACCCTCAGGCCTGAAGACCCCCACCCCCATCGCAAAAGTGGCAAAATAAAGGCAGTTATTGGCAGATAATATCATTTGGCCATCAGAGGAGAATGCCCTGGCAGCACTAACTGCCACACAGAGCCCTTCTGCAGAAATGTATGGAAACACAGCCAGGTGAAGACTGCTCAAAATATAGGACAACAGCATCAAGATCAGCCTTAAAGAAATGAAAATCCTCTGATGCAAGGCACTATGAAGAGCACAGAGATACTCCTGATATCTCCTGATAATACCTCAATGAGGTACCTGGAGAAAAAGAACGGAAGAAAAAGAAAATTCATAGCAGATTCTGCCCTGAGTACATTCAGTTTTAGGTCTGCAGATAATCTAAGACATCGCATAAGGTGAAAGGTCAGTTCTCTTCCTCATCAACTTTCCTATGTATCATAAATCAACAGGTCCTTTACAAGAACGTCATCTCTTCCAGCACACCTGAAAGTCTCTCTGTCACTAGCCAATTCTTCAGCCCTATGTGCTTTCATAGCCAATGCGTCTTCAATATCCTGCATCCACGTTTGCGGAGGTCGGTCCTCTGCCTCGTTTTCAGAAAACAGAGTCCTCCATTAACGTTCTCTCCAACTGTGACGTTTAAGATGGCCGAATACCTCAGCTTTTGAGAGAGGATGCTGTTTATGATTCCTATGGATACAAGTCAAAAGGATATTCTGGTACCCATTTTTATGAGGTCGAGTTGACCCTAGAGCTGTAGTTGCTGTGGCGGGGAAAAAATCCTGCCTGTGCTGGGGATGTTAACTAGACTTACTTTCTTGACAAGTAAACACACACTTACTGGCTACAGCTCCAAAAGGCATTATACAAATATAGTCAAACACTGCACAGATGCAAACAGAACCAATGACATTAACTATACTTGTCTGGGACTGGTTAATGCAGCAATGCCAGTTTAGCGACTTCTCAGGGATGAGTAGAGGACAGCAATGCCTGATTAATACCATCTCGGAATCAGATGGTTCAAAGGTCATGTCAAGCGCAGAGCTATACTAGTAAAAAGCTTCATCTTATTTGTCTGCTATCAGTTTTTTTTTTTATTCAGCTACTGAAACAAAGAGAAGAGATGCCTCCTTGGACAAAGCCATTAGGGAAAAAAAAATTCTGGAATTATTGGACACTGAACCTAAACCAGTGTGTAAGTAAATCAAACCTTTAACCAGCTAGGTTCATATTCGCTAAATGTCTATATAAATGTATCAAGTGAAAAATAACAATATTAAGAATATACAATTGACATTAAAGATATCTGACTGTATATAATAAACATGCATTTCATATAGTGATATAACTCAATGACAAAACCATACTTAGTAAATATATATCAGAAACAATGATGATTACAAACAAGCGATCAACCATCGCAAATTTCAACTAAAACAAAAAATAGTGTGTAAAACTATGAGCAACATTCAAGCTTATAATAAGCACTAGTGATTGATCTTGTTCAAAACACTGACTTAAAGAAAAACTGTAGACAGCTTAAATAGAAAGGCGATACTTAATCATTATTAGAAAGTCCTATACTCATGAATAGCAAATTCATATTCACCACATCATTCTGTAATTAAAGGTCCTTTTCCAAAGTTAAGTCAAACATTTAAGACAATTTGTTATGGTCCTATTTAAAAACACAAGCCAAAAAAAATGGTTACATTAAACTTACACATTTCAACATGATCCATTTAAGCAGTGAAGAAAAATAAACGCCATTCTACAACTGCTGAAATAAACTGTAAGGACACAGACCTAACTTCGCCCCTGTGACCATATCATGAATTTCCCACAAAGGCATGTGATTCCTAAGACAAGGTGTTTTCCTGCCAGCAAAATCACATAAGCAATGCCAGGACAGCAAGGCTGATAGTCCTGGAGTTATTCTGAAGCAGCCTCTATGTCTGTGTGCTTGATGTTGGAGGTATCAAACGGCTGGCCAGTGATTCGTTCAAACAGGTTCAGCACATCATCGCAGGTAGTTTCGAAGTGTGATGTAGCATCATATGACTTGGAAATGAAAATCTGCAAAAAAATGAGACCAAAACTTTGTTGTTACTGCAGAAACTAAGGGCAGACAAACGCTTACCAGTTGGCCTCTAGGTTGGTGGTTGGAGTCTGATTAGATTATTATGACCTGGCTCTAAGGTCGACATAATCCAAAACCGATGTCAGGACTTGTCCTTGGAAGTAGTAGTGGTCAGCATGACGATGACCTCAATACTTGTTGAGTGCTAGCTGGTTTATTTAAAAAATATTTTAAAACTTAAAAGGTAAAGTTGAGAGGACCTACTTCACAGCCCTGGATTTGATCTCACATGGCTCCATCTGTCTCGGCAGAATAGATAACCAACCTGCTGAGGGCACCGCATAAAGCACGAACACAGCAGATCTCGCATAGATACCCAGGGGTTTAATAAAAATTACACTCATAAAATGAGTGACGCTGCCCTAAAATGAACACATGACCTTCGGAGCTTAAGGCAAACAAACACAGACCTAACAAAGACACACAAACAAGAGGTCACAGCCATGTAACTTGTGCACTTCACTGCTAGTCTGGTAGTTCCGGGGTCAATTCTCCACTGAGACAGGATGCTTTCACAGCTCTAGGTTTGACATAGCTGTATAAAATTAGAGCTAGAAAACATTTTCAGATGTAATACATGCTGATAGGACAACTCAGCATAAGTTGTTCAAAGGCTTCATTCATTGACTGTCCTATTGTGCCATTATATACCAGATAGGGCTCACAGCTTATTTCTCTATTCTGTTCTAATGGAATGGCTTCCTTTCCTTTAGGTTTCTGTGGCAAATATTTTGTTTCCATGGTTGAAGAGCTGGCCTATGCCCAACCCTCCTCCTTTTATAAACAGGCTTGGGATCGAATATGGCCGAGACCAAAAATAGCAGCTGAAGGCATGCTGGGAAAGGGAGAGGCGGGGTTAGGGGATAAAAAGAAAGAGAGTAGAAGAGGGTGAATGATTAACCAAAAAGGCTTGAGAGAACAAACTAAAAATATTACATGTTGTCCAAAGAAGAAAATATGACGCCTGCCAAAACAAAACAAGGTGAAATGTGAGAGAACAATGTATACATGTCAAATTATGTTATGTGAAAATGCCATCTAACACACACAAAAGGAGCAATAGTTCCTAAATTAGTTAAATGAATTTGAATGGGTGAGTAATTTGCATCTATATACAATAAGGTAAACAGCTTAAAAAGTTAAAAAGCAGACTATTATTCTTAGAGACACCAACAATGAGAGAGCTGTGTGGTCATTAATAGCAGCACTGAATATAACCATTACTAAGAAGGGAAAACTGATGCTAAATTAACTGTCAGCAGAAAGGAATAGGGAACTGACATTTATGCACTTTATTTTTAAACTGTCAAACGACCTGTTTTTCATTCACTGAGATTCAGTCTAGAGATTCTATTTGTATTTACACAAACCAGAGAAGACCCTAAGTTTTTCAAAACTAATTTCATTAAAGATTTACAACAAAGAGTAACAAAACTGATGTGTTGTGAAGTATGTACAATCATTCTGCACAAGTATGATTTATCATCTGTATTCATCCAGGACAGAGTACACAGAAGATCCTTACAACACCCCAAACAATCTGCAGAGATAAGTGGATGAAGAGAGTGGTTGATGGTGGATTTAAGAATCGACATCACAGCACTCAGGGCATTCCCATAAGGGCTCCATCCTCATCTTCAGTAGCCGGCGCAGAGTTCCAAAACCAATGGTGCCAGTAGCACTCTGATTATACGTTCATCCTGCCTTTTCTCTGAGCGTGGAGTATCAGCCAAAAAAACCTAGTCACTCCCTGCTGCATCACTCTCACCAGACTGTGGTGATCCATTTGCTCCTCCGAATTGTAAATGCACTTCCCACAAGGCCCTAACTACATCTGCCTTATCATGCATCAATATTTCACCAAATTGTGCCGAACCAGCCAATCAATCCGCCTGTTCATTTCCCAAGGATGAAAAGAATCAGAAGAGTAACATCTCTTAAGTCATAGATTATAGCAGCAAGCTGTGTTTTCATGTGTAACATCAAGGTAGTGATTACGTGCATTCCCCATTGGGGTTCTGGGATCCCATTTGGGGTGGGGAATAGACCCACTGCCCCTAAACAAGCATACCATAAAAGGCGGCTACTTTAGGATTTTCTGAAAATCCAATGAACTGGGCCAAAAGGGACAAGTACTGCAGCCGAGCTATAAACCACAACATGCCAACCACCCTTTAGAGGGCAATAGTAATAAACAAGGAACAATGGCATTATGGGGCAGACAACTAACACTTAGGCATGAGCTATTGGCAGAGGTGAGTGTTATTGTGTCTGGATATCTTTTCCTGGGTGGAGTTTCCTGTGATTAATTTACAAAATAGGAAATTTTGAGTGTCAATAAAACATACCTTAGCTCTTTTTTTAAAATTTGAATTATAAAATTTTCAGCATTTTCCTATGCTTACTTTGTATGTTTCCTACAACTGGTAAAAGTCAAAACTAGACAAAATCAACACTAGTATAAAATTACCTTGCTCTCCTTCCCATCATCAACTGGCTCTAGAAGGTCGACAATACTAACAAACCTGTAATGGGAAAAAGGTTTACAATGAGCATATCCATTAGTTATTACAGTCTACATTTACAACTTTCCAGTGTCAAAAGTTCATGTTACATGTGTGGAGAGTTGGTTGGTATGTTTACATCTTTCCAGATGACAGTATATTCTTCTTCTCATTCTCCTGCCAGTCGTTTTCAGATGAGAAGGCAACAAGCCTCTATGAGTCTGTGGTGCGAGGCATGTCTTCCTGTTTCCACTTGATCGCCAACCCCCCCAAATGGGTCAACAGCTGATAAGAGGGAAGTCATGGATGGCTCAGGCAGAAGACACAATCAGACAGGTTTGCATCCTTCAGAACATTAGGCGAGGAGAGGAGTGAGTCAAAGTGCCACCTGAACAGTCAGACTTGTGTAGGGTCATAACCACACCAAGCCGGGAATGCAGAGACTGGCCAGCAGGTGCCACAGAGGTGAAAATTCAGCAATTAATTCAAGATAATGCTTGCTCAGAGGATTTGATTATTTCACACAGACGGTTTAGTGTCAAGAGGTAAAAGAAGTGCTTGGGGTTTCTTAGCAAAAGTTAATGGTCGACGTTTGGTGCAGGAGAGCCTAGCATATGATACCACAACATCCAGCTTGAGAATGGAGGTGGAGGCAGTCACTGCAGCTTTCCACTAGTTAGAGAACAATCACATATCGTGATTGTAACTGACTCAGAAAGCATGCTGAGGAAGATCAAGACAGGCATGCTTCGTGCAGAATGGCATGCTTCGCTGCGGAGGACACGGGTGATGAGTATTGTCTGGATGTTTTCACCGGGATATGCCGCTGTGTTTGGAAATGAACAGGCAGACAGAATGGCTGCCTCTGCACAACTTGGTGGAATACTGATGCATGATAAGGCAGACGTGATTAGTGCCTAGTGGGAGAGTGTTTACTGTTCGGAGGAGCAGATGGATCACTAGTCTGGTGAGACTGATGCAGGGGGGAGTGACGAGAGGTTCTGGCAGATAATCGAGACTCTGAGGAAAGGCAAACGGAAATTTAATCAGAATGCTACTGGCACCATAAGTATCGGAACTCTTCGCTGGCTGCTGAAGATAGGGATGAAGCTCTTATGGAAATGCCCCGAGTGCTGTAATGTCGGTTCTTGAATCAACTCAACCCCCCAAATGGGGAATCTCAGCTACAGAGAGCATGTTTTGATGACAGTTTTAAACTGTGCTATAGTAGGAAATGGGTGTTGTGAAGTGATCCACTCACCCCTGCACATTTGACTAATTTTGACGTTGGCGCCCTTAGCGGGCAGGTCACATTTCAAATATAGACCGGTCTGGTTGGTAAATAGTCCATCATATCTATTTATACCTTTATCTGGCGTAATAGGTATTTCTATACACTCTAGTTGTCTTGAAAAGTCTACATTTTCAAAGTACAATTGTAGGATAGATATTTTCCAGATAAATAATTATTTTTCCAAGAAACCGATTCACTTCTCGGTGTATTGGTACGGTAACTTCTTTCTCCGAAAGGACGCTAAGATGTCCCTCTCATTCACTGCCGACTTTCAGAAAGTCCAGACGCATCTGCCTTTGTGCCTAATTTCTACTTTGAAAAGTACCAGTTAATTTCTGGAGAAAATCCTAAGCTTGGGTAAGTTGATTTTAGTGTGCGAGTACCATGTATTTATATTTATACATTTAACCTGCTGCTGAATAGAGGAATGATTCAGCTATTGGACACTGCTGAACGAGACTGTTCTTGGTGTCAATCTACTCCCGGGCAACTAAATCAACCTTTTCCCTTTTCAAACTGTGATTAGGTGTCCTACCTAAACCAATGTTAATATAAAGGAATTAATCTGACAGCCTGATCAGGTTTCTAATTAACTGGTGGGAATTTTGAATAAAAGCATTAAAGCTGGCAAGATAATTGGGTCAGCGTTCAGTCTGCACACAGCAGGTCACACACAGTGGCGTCCGGGGTTATTTATAGCTAACTCTCAAACAACACAGTGTCAGCAACGGCCAGACTGTGGTATGTATATATATATATATAATATAATATATATATATATATATATATATATATATATATATATATATATATATATATATATATAGAGCATATATATATATATATATATATATATATATATATCTTCTTCTTCTTCAGCGTTCATAGCTGTAAACTCTGGCAGGTTCTGTTACATCCACTTTTGAACTGCAGTCCTGCTCCAACCGTCACAGTTTTAGATCTGATTCATTTTGACTGTTGGTTCCTTTGTTCAGGCAGAGCATCCGACTTCAAAGGAGCTATTTCGACTCTGACATGCTTTTGGGGAGGCAATATATATATATATTTGGATATTTACTGCCGGTGTGTTAGGATATGAGCAGACAGATAGACTGGCCGGTTCTGTGCCACTTGGTGGCAAACTAATGTATGACAAGCTAGATGTTGTGAGCGGCCCTTTGGAAGTGAGTGGACAGTGCGGAGGCACAGATAGATCATTATGGTCTGAGGAGAGTGGCGCTGTGAGGAGTTACCAGGGGATCTAGCTGAAGCTCAACACTCAAGGGAATAGCGAGACGGACATACAATCAGACAGTTACTGGCACCATCAGAACTGGAACTCTTTACCTGCTGGGGATGATGGGGGTGGGGTGCTTATGGGAGGTCCCGAGTGCTTTGATGTTGATTTTTAATTCAATATACAACATTTCACAATCAGAGCATGGGATTTCAGACCACTGCTGCCACAACACATACTTAATGGGCTTGTTCTCAACGATCAGCACTTAACCTATCTGCACAAATTATTTCTCTTATTCCTGTTCACTTTCTAATTGTTCGCCCCTCATGTAACATATGGTCCATGGCATCCTGTTCACCCCAAATCCACGTTCATACCTGCATCATTCATGTCCTAACTACATACATGCAATCTTCTACCCATCTATAATTCATCATACAGGACATCCTTAGGGTACTCCCACCATTCCTCCTCCTCCAATGGTGTCCAAGCCTATAAAGACCGAACATTAAGAACACTTTTGTGATGCATGTTCTTTCTAATGAAGATAAGTAAGGGACCTTTTTTCCCACACCTTTAGGCATACTGAGGATATGGGGCTAGACCTATATTTTAAACACCACTCGGTACTCGGTGGGTGATGTGGTCAGCATCATGCTGACTTATTTTACTGACTGTAGATGAGTTATGTTACTGTCTGGTGCTTAGATGTTGTGAACATAGCTTCAGAATCCTTTAATAATCAGTTTTCCAAGTCAGATGCAGGCAATTTCGGCAGCAGACATCTTTGCATCTCAAATTCACCAAAAACAATATTTAGCACCCCAAGCATCCCCCATTATTTGGCATCACAAACATCCTCACATCATTTAGCACCACAAATGCCCCTATATCATTTAGCATCATCATAAACACCGCACCCATCATTCAGAACTCTAACATGCCAGCCCCATGTGATCTCGCACAAATTAATTCAAAATCCTGTAATGAAACCTACTGCGGACATACTCAGACTCTGAATCATAAAGATTTCAATCAATGTAAAACTGAAAGTACAATATCTATAATGTTTTAGGTCATTAACAGCAGGTTAGCTAAACAATGGGAGCAACAGTGGTGTAGCTCCTAGAAGCTCACCTCAGACCAAAAGTGGTTCAAATCCGCATAAAATCGGATTTAAAAAAAAAACTTTCGCTTCCACTCAGCCTGAACACAATCCAAAATCAAATGAGATCATGACCAGAAAACGTCACCCCTGAAAGGAAAGTGAGACCTAGCTGAAAGTGGTCAACGAAAGAGAATTTAGAAAATTCCACTCAGCCTAAAGTTGATGACAGGTAAAGCCCTGGGAAGTAAAGGCAGCCGGCGTGATGTTGAACACATCACCCACAAAGTGTCAATTGGTCCCCAAAAAATATAGGTCTGACCCTATGTACCCAATCAGCCTAACTGAGTGGAAAAGGGACCTTTATTTTACTAGCTAACAGATTAGCTAATTATAAGCTAATCTGGCTGGTATAAAGACCACTTACTTCTCTGCTATTGGTCCCAGTAGATCAAGGCCTGGTTGCAGTTCTGCCTCAGGGTCATTTGTCTCCACGGTGGTGGCCACCATTGCCAGGTAGTAGTTTTTGGCACACACATTGTGGGCAGATGACACCATGCAAACATAGATATCTGCACACACAAAAGTGAAAATTATTGCATAGATCAATAAGTAACCTTGTTTATCTTTGTCTTTTTCTAAATATATGTAATAAGGTTAGGTCTATTGTCCTCTTTCATGGCAGACCAGGTCCTTAGCCTTGGCTGGCAGCTGGTCTCGGAGGAAAGCTCTGAACAGGTGGACAGAGCACTACTCTTCTGATTTAGCAGCTTCTGCAGCATGCTTTGTTCTAAGCGTTCTTGTGTTTTCTTGCCATTGGAGTAAACAAGTCAGGCTGGGTGAGAGAGGGATTATAATGCATGGGCAACAAATGATCCATCCCTACAATACTGCCCAGGCTGTGTGCTCTGGTTCCATTAATCTTCCTAAAGGTTACTATGTTCTCAAGCCCATTCCTTCTCATAATATGTCCACACACAAACATATGACTGTCTATGTCTAATTGTTCTAATAAATGTACGCCTTTCAACTGTCTCTATAACTGCTTCATTTGTTTTGTTCTATTCTTCCATTATATTCTTTGCAATCTCTCAAAAACCACATCTCTGCAGCGAGTAAATGTTTTCAACTTATTTGCTTATTGTCCATATTGTTAAATGATGACTATTCTTGGCATCTTGAAGAAGACAGTTTGCCACTGCTTTCCTTCTTGACAGTGACCATACTTGTCGGATGACCATAGACACTGTCACTATAGTGTGATCCTCGGCCTACCGTGGGGGAGCTTGAGACCATGATCAACAACTGTCAGCTTCTCTCAAGCTTAATCCACAACCTACTCCCATGGTTTCATGTTACCCTGAGAGTGAGTTGAAACAGGTCCCAAACTTTGCCAAAGGGTGCCCCGTACTCCAGCAGAGAGAAGGAGATCTTCATTCATCGACTGTAAGCTTCAGCTGAAAGTCCTGGTTTTCATCCGTTTAGACTCTGGCTTTGTGCCAGTGAACTTTGCCAAAGGGTGCTCCGTACTCTAGCAGAGAGAAGACCTTCGTTCAGCTGAAAGTCCTGGTTTTCGTCGGTTTGGACTTCGGCTTTGTGACAGTGCCTGAGTTTAGCGTGTACATCTGTTTAACTGGCTTATTTGTGTGTAGTTGTTGCTCCTTGCCGCTGGGGCAGATGCACTCCGACTTCGAAGGATGTCCCCAGTTAGTCAACTCCTACGACAAGCTTGTTGGAGAGGCCATGGGTCTGTTCTTGTTTTCACTACAATGAAATCCCAGAACTCAGAAAAGGAGATGCCTTACTTCAACTTTGATAGAGGACACCCTTACTCCGCTACATACTTCACTGTACTAAAAACCACAGAAAATTAAAATTACCATCATTTCTGTTGACTTGATTCTGGGGAATGATGATCTGGACTGACTGGGCATCCTTGACGCTCTCAATGGGGTGGTCGAGGATGCATATGGCCCGAACAACCTGAGAATCACAAGGGTGTTTCCGTCAATAATAAGAACTGCCGCTTAAAATAAACAATGAATTGTGAACACAATGCCTGTCAACTGAGAAATCTTAAATACAAAAAAGTTACTGTAACGGCATAGTTCATTGAGATAATTTAATTTAGATAAGTACTAGAGATCGTCGGCGTCTGTGGCTTAAGTATTGCGAATGCACTTCGTAATGCCGGGCTGCCGGGTTCGATTCCTACTGCAGACGATTTGTATTACGCTGGTTACAACAGTAGTACTGAGAGCTGTACATTTAAAAAGCAAAGGCAAACTACTAAACGCAAAATCTGCCTAGAAAAACCACAACAGCCAATAAATGCAACTAACTTTAACTACAGATTGGAAGCTGCATCAGCTCAGCAACTACACCCTCAGCTGCGACCCAAATAACTAAGTGTTCAAATCCCCATCAAGGCTCATTCTTTAATCAAAACTGACCATAGCTCGTAGGTTGAAACAACCTAAAATGGGTACCAGGTACTGTCAAGGGAAGTAAAGGCAGCCGACATGATAATGACATTACCCAATCAATGATCTACAAAAGAATAAGTCTAGCATTAGAGTAAAACCCTGTTAACACAAAATTCAAGGGACTGAAAAATTAAGATTTCCTTGCTGCTGCTCAACCACAGTTGCAGCCGTTACTGGCTGGAAAAAAATCGTGCTTCTACAGGAATCTGGACCTAGATAACTGTATGCAAACATAATGAGCCCATTTCTGCTTCACTTCCTCTTATACCACTTTTGGTGTTGTGGGAGTGGTGTTGTGGGAGATTTAAGGTGATGCTAATTGCTCTTATGGGCACCTTGACCACAGACAGTTCATGTTGCTGTAGAGTTTCTCTGATGTTATTCTTCCACATCTTTCTTGGTCTACCTCATGCTCCTCGTCTTTCTCCTTTTTAGCTTATGCCTTGCATGGTATGGCATCATGAGGCGTTCTCGTTAAATGGGCCAACCATTTGATTTGCTGTCTTTGTATGTAATTTAGAATAGGTTCTGTGCCAACTCATTCCTCTCAGGGCCTGATTTCTGATTTATCTATTCTGACCATTCCTGCACCCTTGTCCGACAACTTATTTCCTTGGTTACTAAGTTTATTTCCTAGTCTGTTGTGAGTGGCCATATATACACTGGCAGCAAAGGGTGGGAGTGAATATGCTTTATATGAGATGTTTCTGTGTGCTGATCGGGACTGTGATATTGCTGTGAGGAAAGAAGACTGGGAGCCTAGCTGCCCCAAAACTGTTAATATTTTAATTACTGACTCACCTGTCCAACTGTCTTGCAACGATCCGGCGCATACGATGGATCACAGACCACAATCCCACACTTTGCAGTGTCCTTCCCATCAGAGACACCGACCACGTGGCCATCTTCCATCACAATTGATTCAATAGGTTTGTCCAGCATGTAAGTACCTCCATAAATTGCACTAAGCCTGCCTCACAAAAATAAACAAGATAATTAGAAAACATTCATTACATTATTTCCAACTTCAAAAGTAAATGCTAAAACAAGTGTTTTTTGACAGTGATTAGTACAGGGTTTCAGGTTTACCATCATAAGAAAATATTATCACAATTTCTCTGGGCAAAAAATGGGAAAGGGGCAGGGGGGCCTCAGCACTCCTCACTAAACTGAGAACCCACATACTTTGATCCATAAGTAAACTGTTGGTGCTTTCAGACTATCATCTATAGATCATCTTTTATAAACTAACTAATTACATATGAAGTCCTTTGAAAATGTTGGTTCAGTCATCCCCCCTCCCCAAAAGATTCTCAGCTGCTTTCCAAATGCTGACTGAGAATCAACAATCTTGACAAGATCAAAATGGGTCAAGCAGCAACAGTGCTATACATGAGTCCAAACAAAGAATAGTAAACCTATATAGCTGGTGTTCTAGGTGGTCACATGATGAGACATTTACTGCAGATGGGATCTGAGCACTTACTGCCAATGGTTCAATATGCAGCAAGTGTTGTGTGCGATCCGAAGATTCACACTAGGGCAGACCGCTATTGAACAAGATACATGACGACAGACACGACCTCACTTGCCGACGAGAACTGAGTAGTGGACAGCTGCGAGAAGTGTGTGAATGGCAGAGTTTGAAAACCAGAAGCTTATCTGGATCTGTACTTTATGCCGCAGTGTGCGGGGAGCTTACGCTCAATACTCTGGATTGGAGGTAAACGGTTATTCTGCCATACTTCAATATGGACATTCTACCATATTCATTTTCATGGTCATGCACGCACCTCCCGTGGACAGTTACAAATAAACGTGATGTATTTTGCTTGTCAGCTACGTTTTCTTCAAGTACCTTAGTTCAATGTTCGGAACAGTTTGTGGCAGTGTCTGCCTGTTATTGCGTTTCAACAACTGCTACCCCTAGCGGAACATTATTTGGCATTGGCATGGACTGCCTTATGGCAGGGACCAGGGACTGCTAACCATATATTGCTATATAGTAAATATTGCCGTACAGTGAGGATGACTAGTCAGTTAACTTTTAACTAATTTAAAAATAAAAATAAAAATATGATAATGTTCAATTTGAGCAAGACAGATATTAAATTCAAAAGCCTAATAAAATCCAGAAACAAAATGTAATTACAAGCATAAGTGTAATTTTTTTCTCTTTTAAGAAATATATACAGACCTGGCAAAGCCTTGTGGCAGTTCACCCAGTCCATACAATGGGTATAGGTAAGGAGATTTTCCATATCTTGCTAGAGAATCGCTATACAGACGACATCTTTTGATCAGGTCCACACAAGGTTCATTCATGTAGCTAAACAGAAAAACAACAAATGGTAAATCAAGTAGATCACAAGTAGTGGCAAAATGAAATATTTTATAGGATTTATAGTTTTTTTTTTGGGGGGGGGGGGGGGGGGGGGGGGGGGGGGGGGGGGGGGGGAGAAAGAGATATGATGCTATTCAGCAAAAAATAAAATGAAAAATATTTCACTTGTGCTGTAAGAGTTATAGAGGAATTTTATGCATCCAAGGTCATCCTTTGTACATTTCTTTCTGTGTTCTAAATGAAGCCCCACAAACATCAAATTCTACTACAGTGATAATCCTGACACAGCATTCATATTTCGTTATAGTGGTTCAGAAGGGAGTCAGCAGAGGATCTGAAAAAATATACACAAACTGTAGGAGAGATAAGACAGATGAACTTTGCAATCATTTTGTCAATGGCACCAACAATGTCAGAACTAACTGCTGGTCGCTAAAGAAGTGGGAGGTGAGAGAATCAATTTCACTGCACTGGGTTTTATCCCTATACCGCTCAATCTCTCACCACCTCCGTAGCTCCACTGACGATCCCCAGGGATCTCCGTAAAAACTGCACTCATGAACTTGAACGGCGCCATCGTGAAATGAATCACAACCTTCAGAGCACGATGCAAACAGCTTGACCACCTCGCCACAGGTTACTGAAGAAGGGGAAGAAGCACATGGGCTAAGGTCAGAGTGCAGTAACTTCACTTCTTGAAAACACTACTTAAAATAGCTGTTTCCACAATGTTTATTATACTCCTTAAAATAGCTGATTCCACAATGTTTATTATAAACTGCATGTATCAACTTTTATGAAGCTTTGCAAAACCCAACATATTATTGGAATATGTTTGTTACATGTCTAAAGTTAAGTAAAAAAGAGGAGGAAAAGAACAGCTTGTGAAAACATGCAAATTCCACTACATGGCATTGGGCCAAAGGGCAAAAGCTCATGCGCCGCTGGATCGATAACAACAACAAGTAAAAAAGAAGACTTTTATTTCCATGTTTTCTTCTTTGAATAGAAACTGTAGGTGCTGCAAACACGCTTCGTAATGCTGAGGTGCCAGGTTCGATTCCAGCTGCAGGCAATTCAGCAGCAGACTGCCTTGCTCTGGTTTCGAAAGGGGTATCCAGAGTCGACCGTTCAGCAAGCAAATGGCAAACTATTGAGCATAAAAATCACAAACAGCCAACCACAAAAATGCTGGTCGATTCTGCAACATCCTACAAAGGACTGCAGCTAACTTAAAAAAAAAATTTTTTAATGCTATGCGTAGAGTGGCACACACTGCTTGATTTTTTTTTTTTTGGGTAGTATCCTGAAGCCATGAGTTGTTAACCGGTTAACCCTTAGGCTCGGTATTATGGATATCGCAACCCTTCGTCCTTGATTCCATGATAAATATCGTAAATCTGGGAGAAATGTGGCTTTTCTGCTTACCCCAGGGCATGAACCCGGACCACAAGGAGGCAGACATCATGGTAAGAGCATATGACAGATTTTATGTCCAAGACATGTGGGGGTGTTGGGTAATGAGCAGGTTTATAGTTTTGCTTCTGTCCCTTCTCTGAACAATGAGCTATTTTATAATATGGCAGACATAGTAAAGGCTCCGTGGGGATCAACTGGTTAGTGCAGCAAAAAGAACAGAATATCTGGAGGTTGATTCAGCAGGTAGTGAGTAAAGAAGCTGGAAAATATTCAATGCACAGGAAAAAAATATACTTTTAATCAGGCTGCCCTAGCATTAAGAGTATAAGGACTGTTTGCTGAAGGTTGAAGACGGGAACAAAGCGTGTATGAGTATGCACTGAGTAGAGTCAAGTCAAAACTGAAATGATTCATTTGTTCTAGTTTAACATACTTGTCATTTCTATAGAGAGCTAGAGCATGCCCTGTGAAGTCTTGGGTGTTGGCGTCGAGTCCAAACTTCTCATACAGGCTTTTAGCTGTCATGGTGGGCTCGACACCTTTCCATGTTTTGGGGTCATTCACATCATAGTCTTGAACATGCTGAAGGAAGTTCTTGAAACGTCGCTTCTCAAAAATGCCCATCAGTGCTAGTGGAAAAACAAAAATTATTTTTGGGAAAGATGTTCGAATCAGTATCAATGTGTTTTTTTTTATAACTGACCTTAACTCCTAGGTTAACTCAGCCTAAAATGGGCCCTAGAAAGAAGAAGAGGTGGCTGGATTGATGCTGACCATACTACCTACCGAATACTGATTTGTTTATCAAAAATGAATCTAATTCTATATGCTGGATAGACCACTAACCTGAAAAAGGGTCCCTTACTTTGTTGTTACTACAATAAGTGTATTCAGGGTAATGGCTGTCCTACATATCTGGTCGCAGACAGCTAAGGAGCTTTAGATATAGAGGCTAGTTAGAATATGTTAAATATAAATAAGACAGCCATGGACAAACATGGATGGTGGTCATTTAGGAGAAATGAGCTAGGCGATGAGGTGGCTATAAATACAATGTCATGGTCAGCAGCGGGTAAGAGGTGCTCTAATAGCTCTCCTCCCTGATGTCTGGCAAGTTCGTCTCTTCAACAAAAGTTAGGGAAGTTTAACTGTAAACAAACCAGATGCTTGTTAGGAGAACATTTTCCCCATGTGAGTTTCGAGGCCAAATATGGGGCGTATATCTTTCTTTGTCTCCCATCTCGGTCAGGCTTTATGAAGTTTCTGCTGCTGTGAGATGTTGATGCTCATTTGTGAGTCCTTATTTGTATTCACTCATGGTCTGCCACCTGCCCCTTGCTGAACCACTGGGTTAGTTCTTATGTTAACAGTTTTGCCTGTGCGTATTTCCTGTGTACATTACAGCTGGGGTTAATAGTTCATGGCCATAATATTTTAACGATTCATCCCAACTGTGTCTTATCAAGATGTACTTTAGCATGTGTGCGTGTGTGGATATTTGTGAATGCATGTCCAACCAAACAAACATACATGGTTAATACAAAATATGTTGAGTGATATACTAGAAAATACAATGTGAACTGTATTTCAAAATCTGAAACATTTTATGTATGCAGAGATGTTTTCCAAGTTAACCCTTTTGCTGCTATGGACGTCTTTTCCCGATTTCTCGTACGCTGCCACGCCCGTCTTTGGACGTTATTTTTTTTTTTTTACCCTCAGTGCTATGGACATCCCAAGCCGTTTTTGGACTTTTCTTACAGATTTCTGTGACCTCGTATTTTATTGACTGAAGGGCAAAATATATTTAGATTAAACTGACCCATTTACATACGATTAAAAGCACTGGCACATGCTTTTAGTTGAGTTTAAGGTGTGTTTACTGCATTCTGCGTTATCCCCTTGCTTTGTTTACCGTGACAGCGTCGTCAGTGATCTGTGTATTTTGTGCCCTGATATATATTTGTGCTTTTGGATTATTCTACACTTAGCACAAAATGGCAAGAAAACTTGTTAAAGGTGATGAAGAATTGATGGAGTTTCTGTCAAGAAGTGATAGCGAAGATGACTTTGAAAAGTGTACTTCTGACAGTGAACAAGAAGATTTGACTAGGCCATCAATCGACGGCTCAAACCGGCGTGTCCAAGAAAAAGCTGTTTGCCTGTCCGACGTCATCATCGGAATCAGAGAGCAGCGACAATAAAGAGCCATCAAAACAGCAATAAATTGATCAGTTGTCTTGGTCAACCGATGATTTGATACCAGTTGTGCATAATTTTGATGACTCCAGCTCTGGCTGTATTTCTGCTACTGTAAATTCAAACAGTTCAGTCACTATAAATTCTCGTCCTTCCCGATGGACAGATACAGATTTGGACAAACTTTTTTTTTTTTGCTGTCTGTCTGCTAATGCTTAGAACAAAGAAACTCAAAATAGAGTACTTGAGCAAAAACTGTTTGCTAAAAACTCCCATGACATAATATCGAGGGACAGATTTGTACTATTTTTGAGAATCTCAAACATTTCTCAGACACCAGTGCTCATGCAGGCGGCGATAGACTGTACACAATTAGACACATTATTGATAGTCTGCGCACATCATTTATTATTATCATTCACACATCACAATGCTTCAAGCGGTAGTATAGTGTAGTTGGTATCGCGTCCGCCTTAGAATTGGAGGGTCGTGTGTTCAACCCCCCAATTCTTTATTATTTTTTTTTATTATTGTAAATTTTCCTTTCAGTTCCTGCTACTTTTCAGCAACAGATGACTCAAGTATTATTATTATTATTTTGGTGTGTAATAACATGGTGACTACAAAAAACTATGATTAAAGTGGGAGCCGTGGTAGGTTCGTCAATCACATTTTTGGGATATGGACTGGAAACAGTTCTTCCCATTAATTCCCCACTCCCCCCCCCCCCACCCCCAGGAGGGGCGATAGCTCCGTTAGTCAAGTTTGTGGGGCACCATCAAAATTTTAGGTCTACAAAAAATAGCCCTCACCGCGACACATCTTTTGCGTTTGGAGGATAGAAAAGTATTGCGCACAGCAGAGACTTTTTTTTCCACATTGCTTAGCACAGGGCAGACAGCTAATTCTGGGAACGTAGCAGCGAAAGGGTTAAATAAATAATAAGACTGACCATTCTTTAGCAGCTTTAGGTCAAGAATAAAAACACAGAAAACTGCTTACATGATTGCAAAGCTTCTTTCTCATCAGCAGGAACCTTGAAAATTTTTCCTCCTTTGTATACATAACTTCCTTCCACAGACTTGAACTCTAAGTAGCGGGTCACCCCAGTATGAATTAGCAGCTTTACCAGCTGACCTATTTTAGAAATAAAGAAACAAGATTACTGAAACAAATTTGTTCAATGAAAATCTCTTTAATAATGATGTGAGGGTATTTTATAATTTTGAATCAACTTAGTCATCTTAAAAAAAAATAACAAAATAAAAATCACATCTGTACCTAATGGCACTGAAATCTACACCACTGTCAAGAAGTTAATAAAAGTAAATAAAAGAGAAAATAAGCGTAAATAAATATACATTAAAAAAAAAGAGCAAACCAATGGCAAAATCATGAAATAAAATGATATCCAGAAAGAGAAATACAAAATACTACTAGAACCAAAAGAAGGAAAGGAAAGACACAAGCAAACACCCCTAATTAGTCGACTTTTACAACAGGTTTGTTAAAGAGAGCAGTGGGTCTATCCTATTTCTTTTCCCCTCCTCCCACCACCCATAATGGCGCCCAGAACCCACAACAAAATGCCAAGACCACAAATACAAGCACATAAAAAAACAACATGGGCAGTTAATCTATGCAGCAAAATGTCTGTGAGTGTGTGTGTGCGCGTACGTGCGTGCGTGCGCGCGCGTGTGTATGTGTGTGTGTGTGTGTGTGTGGGTGGGTGGTTCTTTACCATTGGCCATGAGAAACTTTGGAATGAGATCAACATTCCAGTCACGTCCTCTGCCATACTTGTCTCCAACTGGTGGTTTCCCAAAATGCTGGAATACCTAAAAAGTAAAGACAACATTAGTAATCCTAGTCCTATAATCAAACAATGACGTACGTATTATTATCATATTAAAAGTAGACGGTGATTCTTTGATTATTAGTCACTATAGCTGGAACTTTGCACTGGCTGCTGAAAACGGGTACAGAGCGCTTATGAAAATGCCTCGAGTGCAGTGATGTCTGTTCTTGAATCAACTCTTCCCTTTGGGTTTCAAGGCCCTATTGTGAATAGACCCACTGTCTCTCCAACAAGCATGTATGTACGAGTCAACTTACTTAGGACTTCCTTAAAGTGCATCTGCCTGAGAGGCAAGAAACCACAAATCTGCAAACACATAAGTGAAATTTCTGTAAAGTGGAGGTGCAGGCAACATTAAGGTTCTGCAACAAGCCCAAAAGTGGACAAACAGCCAGAACTTTCCGCTGAAGTTTACAGCCAGCGAACGCGAAGGTCCTTTGATATTATTTTTTCAGTTGTATTTTTGCCCTTCTCCTGTTCGCTTGCTTTCTTCTTCCATCCAATCTTTTCATTTGCAGATTAAATTCCTTTTTTTTTTTAAATGATATGCAAAATTAGGCTACAATTACACAATATGTGGTACCCACTGTCAATATCTACTGACAATAAAAATCTTCATCTTTCTTGTGGCCATATACTGATATGCGTCAAGAGGGATGTTATCTGGAAAAGAAATTCAGGTTTCTGAATTTCAGTGATATAGAAATATTTTTACAACACCATGAATGAAAATGGAATAATAAATGCTGGCATTCTATAAAGTAATATGGATCAAAAAGACAAAAAAGCTGACATTCTACACAGAAGAAAACTGGCTCATAGCAGCTTTATGTCCTACAAACTGAAATATTAAAGAAGTTAGAAAATTGAGAATCTGATATTTCAGCAGGGTGTGGTGACCAAAATAATTAATATAAATAATAAATAAATATTTATGTTTGACTAACCTCTCCATCTAAAGCTACTTACTCGTCTGCAGTGAAATATGGAGGACAGCTCTGATCCTAAATATACTTATTGTCATAACAACAAAATTAAGACACCCTTTTAAGGTCACTGGCCTCTCCAGCAAATAGAATTACATTCATTTTTGATAGATTAATCAGTACTTGGTGAGTAGTATGGTCAGCATCAATCCAGTTCACCTCTAGTTCCTAGTTGCAGCTGGTGTGGTGTTAATTTATTTTCTGGTTTACGCCAGTAAGGTTCTGATAATGATGGAGAAAATAAATGATTTCTCAAGCAGTCTTGTATGTTTAACCAATGATACCGTGGACATGCGATAAAATCTTCGTCAGGGCAAAGGTTTTTTAAAATACTGACTTAAGCTCTTAGGTTATATTTTCTTATGTGTGTGTCCTTTTCTTCTGCTACATGTTCACAGGCTGTAAACTCTGGCAGAAAGTGCTTGTTGTTAGTCTACTTTAGCTTTGTTTTGTTTAGTTCCAGAACTTGAGTATCACAGAACATCTTTTTAGAGATCTGGCTTATTTGTATGCAGACTGTTGGTTCCTTGCCTCTCAAGCAGATGCACTCTGAATTCAATGGAAACCCCTTGACTCTTCTGACATGCTCATCAGGAAAGCAGTGAGTTTATTCTTTACTGTTCCCCACAATGGGGTCCCGAAACCCACATGGGGGGAGGGGGGGGTGGAGTGTCCTTTACAGGACGTTGCAGAAACAACCCCAGCATTTTGTGGCTGCTTGTGATTTCACTAGACAATTTTACAGTAGTTTGCCACTGCCTTCTGAACAGTCAGCTCTTGATACCACTGCTAAAACCAACATAAGGCAGTCTGCTGCCAAATTATCCATAGCTGGGATCAAACCTGGCATCCTGAAAGTACGAAGGGTATTCCTTAAGTCAGAAACTCCCTTTCAGATGAACCTAGATAAGGATTTCAGCTAAATTAGAAGACAAATGTGTGCCTTATCCACACATACACACACACACAAGTTAACTGCAGTGCATTTGTTAATCCACTGCTATCCTATACTAACTTCTTAGCCTAAGATCCACACAGACATATCATGGAGGTTATATTGAAAAGAAAGCCTGAAGGCAGGTGAGTGTGAACTAATTAGTGATAGTCAGAGAATAACACAAATAGTTTCATAAAGATTGGTCTCAGAAACCAGGGCAAGAGACTGGAGAGTGCTGGAAATCCACTGCAACCACTGGAGACACAATACCCAATGAAGTTGGCGAGAGGAAAACAACTGTACACAATACTGGAAGGCTAATTTACCTGGTCTAAGGGAGTGAGTGATGCACTCTCACCCCCATAGTAAGTATTCTTATCAATATGAAGCACCTTCTTTCCAGACACAGACAGCATTCCACTGAGAATGCATTCCTGCAATAAAAATAGGAATGCTTCATTTAGTTGCTAAGAAGGCTATAAAACACAACTTATGTGTGTGCAGTTAAAAACAAAAAACATAAATATACATACATGTGTATACTAATGCACAGACATATGTGGTAAGTGGGGGCAAAGACCAACAGTTTCATGTTTTTTTAACAGATGTCTGGAAAACTGTTCATATGCACTCTATGAAACTTCATGTGGATATAGTTTAGCCACTTACTCATCATGTAGGTGACAAGTGAGTTAGTGTTGTTAATAATCACAATAATTACATTTTCCAGGCATCTATACTTGTAGGTCTTTGCCTCAGCTTGCCTAAATCACTTGACTAGATTAGAGATGTTTACAGTTGAAAGGTGATATCTCATTACAGAACAAGTGGCCAATCAGGCGGAGTGGGGTTAGGGAGTGGGAGCTTGTCTATGTACTGTATTGTAAGTAGTAAAGTAAAGGACCTTTTTCCAGGCTGGTTCAGGGCCTACATAAAATGGAGAGAAAAATATACAATTAAATGTTCTTTTCTGCTATAATAGTTTTGCGCTGTCTTCATGCTCATTGTTCGCATCTGTTATTGGGTTACCGTTTTTTGCCCATAAATGTCTCAGACATTCTTCTTAATGTGTGGTCCACAAATCAAGGTGTGTCTTATACCCGGGAAAAAAATGGTATGTTTTGATGAATGCTACGTCATCATCATCATCATCAAGTGCCTTGCCAGATGAAGTAGGTGATCATGCTTTCACATATTTTGAGAATGGATCCTTTTGTGTGCTAAAATCCTTTCATGCCATAACAAACAGGTAGTCAAGAATCATCTTTGTTATCTTCTAAATCTCTTTCTATAAATCGTTCAAGACGTCAGAACATAATGAGGTTTATCTCTTGTCATTATGTGGCCAAGAAAATTACTGTCATTTTCTTATGTTTGTGATCAGTTTTCTTTGTTTTTTCCATTTTGACTGTCCAAGATAACTTATCCTGGTGCCTGCCTGCAGATCCGGAAGTCATGGGTTCAAGTTCTGAAAGAGCCAGACTTTTTTAAATCCTGGAAAGTGAAGGCACCTGTCCTGATGTTGACCACATCATCCACCGAGTGCTGATTGGTCAATAAAATATAATTCTAGCCCTACATGCCCAATAAGCCTGGCAGAGGGTCCTTTACTTACTTTACTTACAGTATCTTTATCATCATCATAACATAAGTTAGTTATTTTATGACAAGCAACTGTAATCAATAGAGTATATCCTATGTAAAAGGTGGTACAACATAAGATGTTCAATTAGGACTGATCATAAGTTAGAGGCAAAAAGTTGTCCACACACCAGCCTTTGTGCGTCATTACACTTTTTTTTTTAATTTGAACTTTCATAAGAAGATTTGCAAACTGCATGTTTCCATCTATTTCTATATCTTTTTCAGTTCTAGGTGGTTTAGATCAGAGACCATAGGAGCAGTAAAAGAGACATATTCAGCGCATCTTGCATTTACTGGGCTTAAAGGTAGGAACCTATGAACATATAATACATTCCTTAAGACTGAAAGAGACATGCTAACAGTACTGATACAGTCCATAACACTGTTCTATTTAACACAGTTCATCAGAGCCCCTCAATCTCAATTTCTTAATCGTTTTACCTTGCATTTTGTCTGCACATTCTTTCTTTGACTGCATGTATCTGTTTATCCATAAAACATGACAGAACAACTAAATCTACTGAGTGTCAAGATGGTGATAATTAACTCATTTGGCACCCAAGGAATGTTGGATACATTCTTATATAACTAAGCTGAATTGTGTTTGTGTACTGTCTAGGAAAGCAAAGCAACGAGGAAGACAGCTGGCTAACCAACCGCATGCCATGATGATGAAAATATAAAAGCCTGACTGACTACTTCTGCCCTCTCTTTTGTTTTTAAAGGCACCTACTTGAAGGTTTGACAGCTTCGTGTCTCAAAGGGGAGCATTCTGGATGTTAATCCAACAAGGCAAATCATAAGTTCCCCATTTCAACCTCCAAGAATGTTATAATTAGGGCACCCATATCAGCTACACCAAGTAAATGCCTTGCATTTCTGTGCGGGTAAGGAATCAACAATAACAACCTGTGAAAGTCATATATTTCATACACCCAAAAAGAAGAATATATACCATGAAGATAACTGGGGTTGTTTTTTTCAACCATTATGTTAACTATCGTTCTCATATTACTAAAAAAAAGTTTAATAAATAATAAGTAATGAATTAAACCAGCTAAAATTGCGCGTTACTTTCATTATTGAAATGTGCAAAATTGCAACAATGAGTGACTACTTGTAACTGGTCACAAAATGAAGGTTGGACGCGGCTGAATAAATACAGTGCATATAGAAAGGACAAAGAAATTTAATTGGAGTATTGTGCAATGTCCATTTGGTGTTTTATTAGTGCGTACAATAAGTATAACAAACTAGCTAATGGGACTGACTCACGCCCCACTACTTGTGGCGCTGACAATAATTTTATTATTCAATGGGCAGCCATTTATACATCGTCTGCTGCGGGTGATCCAGGAAAACTTGCGCTTAATACAGAACTATATAAGCTAAATTTATTCAAAATACACCCGCTCTGGCAATTAACAACGAAAGATATACAAATCAACAATCGATATAAAAGGCAAACAAAATTTCTTGAGTCCAGCAGAAATAACGCTAGTGATCATTTTATTATTATGTATGATGACCAGATCGCGATCGATCAGGCGCATACCGCAGCATACTTATTAACTACCACTTGACGCTGTTAATCTGCGAAATAAACAGGCTTCAGTGTTTAAATTACACTCAAATTAACGTAAATAATACATTACTTTGAGCCCTGTGCCCATAACGATGACATCGTACGTTTCATCCATGACTGGTTGGGAACAATTGAAATAAGAAGATGATGGTTACACCCACTTAGCCGTCTCGTCTACGCCGGGCAGCCCGGAACATCAACAAGATGTCCCCTTGCCTCAACGCGTAGTAATACACACAGTTTCACGTCAACTGCCGAAAGAAAACGGAATTATGTTGATGTAGTTACTGTACTGTAGTAGATGAGGAGTCGTACACCTATTTGAGCTTCACGAAAAGATATAAAACTAAGCCGAAAGTGGACCAGCGAGCTTCACAATGTAACAAAATGCAAACGGAATGTGAACGTTGCGGTAACAGAGCCTTCATCGGCACATTTCATAAACAAATGGCAATGACTTGAATGTTGAATTAAGAATCGACATCACAGTCCTCGGGACACTCCCATAAGCGCTCCGTCCCCATCTTCAGCAGCAAGCGAAGAGTTAAAATTTCGATGGTACCAGTAACAGTCTGATTGTATATTAGTCTCACCCCTCCCCCTATGTAACTCCTCGCAGTGCCATTCTCCTCAGACCGTAATGATCTATCTGTTCCTCGGCAATGTTCACTCGCTCCCAAAGGGCCCTCACAACATCCAGCTTGCCATATATCAGTTCATCACCAAGTGATGCAGAACCGCCAGTTTATCCGCCTGCTCATTTCCCAACACACCGGCGTGACCTGGAGAAAATATCCAAAGGATGCTAACTACCCTGGACCTCTGAAATGATGCTTGCCACTCTGCATGGAGCATGCCTGTCTCCACCTTTCTCGGCATGCTCTGTGGATCAGTTACAATGACGACATGTGTGTACATCTGATTCTCAATCCAACGGAGGGCAGCAGGGACCGCCTCTGCCTCCATTCTCAAACTAGACATTGTGATATCATATGCCAGGCTTTGTTGCGCCAAGCGACGCCCATTCGCCTTCGCTATGAACCCCCATGCACTTCGTCTGCCCCTCCCCACAGAGTCATCTCTATATACAATCACATCACTTGGGCAGGAATTGTCATGAATCATTTATTGAACCTCTGATTCTGCAGCACCAGCTGGCCAGTCCCTGCACTCACGTCCCAAAGTGATTAGAACCCTACACAAGTCTGAAACATGATTGGACACTTTGACTTACTCCTCTCCTCGCCTAAATTTATTAAGCCTGCACACATGTCAAACAAGTCACATGACGCTGACTGTTTTGATTCAAGAACTGACATCACAGAACTCGGGGGCATTCCCATAAGCGCTCTGTCCCCATCTTCAGCAGCCAGCGAAGAGTTCCGATACTAATGGTGCCAGTAGCATCCTGAATAAACGTTTGTTTTGCCTTTCCTCTGAGCCTCGAGCATAAATGGCTCTTCAAAGAGTTATTAGGGAATCTGGCCGACGCTCAACACTCAGGGGGAGGATGAGACGGATATACAATCAGACGGTTACTGGTGCCATCAGAATTGAAACTCTTCGCTTTCTGCCGAAGATAAAGACGGAGCACTTATGTGAGTGTCCCTAAGTGCTGTGGTGTCGACTCCTAATTCAACATTCACCATTTCATAAATCAACAAAGCCAACAAACCAAAATTCACCAATGTAGGCAGTAATGTAGATGCTGATTACTAATCTAAGAATCGACATCATATCACACAGGGCATACCCATATATGCTCCGTCTCCCGCAGCAATAGTCTTAAGGTGTAAACGATGTTATTGTAGCACGCTGATTAAACACATGTCGTTCTCTTCCTCTAGACTCCCTCCTTGCCGGATCAACTCCTAATTCCTCGTTCACGCATTTGTATACATGTTTTTTCATCAAATCTCGCGTCTTCTGTCAACATTCTTTCATGTATGGTCTTCAGAATATCTCCTTCGTTTAGTACGGATGTTTCCGCAGCTATCGCTTCTGTAGCCAGAAAATCCGCTCTTTCATTCGTTCGCACTCCTGCATCTCGTGGACAGTATATACAAGTGATTCCCTGATTGTTGGCGTACTGATGCTTGGTATCCACTCATTCATACCTCATTAAGTCTATTTGGAACCTTCCGCAGTACCGACTGAGAAGCAGAGATAAAAATGGGGGAACTTACATAGATTTTATGTTACCTA